CCCCCCAAAAAAAAAAAAAAAAAAAAAAAAAAATTGCAGCTAAGAACCCGCTTTTTACTCGGACAAAAATGTGACTAGTGGCAGTGTGCATGTCAATACCGACGAAATAACTCTTCTTCTTTTATTTTTCAGCGCATCACTTTAAGAGCATTAATAAGCTGACCACCGGGCAATGCAGCACTGGTCAAAATATTTGGAAAAACTGCCAGAGAGATGGACTAATGCAGTTAACAGCTTTTTCAGGTGTTAAGTACAATTCATTAAAGACTGAAAACGTGAAAGTCGAATGACAGTTTGCCGAACTGCACTTCATGGCCGCATTCTTTGTTAAGGTTGATGGAGCTGGCACTGTTTTCATTTACCAACTTCTGGTATTTACTTATTTCGTACAGCATGCAAGTACACTTACCAGTTAACTACGGCCCTGCACAGGCCTACTCCACCCATCTCTTACCTTTCAGCCACGCTACCAGATTATGCCACATTTCTGATAACTGTAAAAGAGCGCTAACCTTCGAATCTGCACCAGCTGTTGTTGCTCGAAGGCTTTCAACAACGCTATCCATTTTCAGATCGAGCGAGTTTTGCATTGCTTCGATTGTTGTTGCTTTGCTCTCCGTAATTAATGATTCCAGTTTGAGAAGCAGCCTCTCATCGCATGACGCTACATCTTCGCCTGTAAATCATTTGCTTTAATTACGAACCTCCGACTTTCTCTTTCAGTCGCCCTAGTTGCACGATTTACACCAGAAGCTGGACCAGTGATCGGCTGTTGGATTATGCACCTATGAGCCATCTTGGCCACACTGGGCAAGATCGTTCAGCACATTCTGTCTATCGCTCCAATAAAAGTGGATATGCCAGTCTCTTGACCAACACATTACACTCCAAAATATCCACATCTCTACATCGAATTCACATCTCTTTCGATGAACGGAAGACTTACGTAGCTGACGCATCTGATAGTCGATGTTCCTTCTTTCCTCCTTTAAACGCTTTTCGAAATCCTCTGCCTGTTTATCGAGACGTGAATTCAGATTTTCCAGATGATGATAAAGAGCCTCCAATTTTTCTGCTCTTTCAGGAGCACTCTGTGTATCTTCACCATTTGACGCATTTTTTCTAAAACAGTTAAAATTTGATCAAATTATTTACAAGACGAAGCAGCAGAAGAAAGGTGGCAGAAATGCACTAATGAACTTAGAAAGTAATGTACCCTTTAAGTAGAAGGGGAGAGAAGGTGATCTATTAAAATCGGCAAAAAAAAACTACAAAAGAAGGCAAAGACGGCAAAACAATCAATATTTCCTCAGGATTCTTCCAATAAATAAGCCTCATAAACTTATGAATGTTCAAGTCTACACACTTCCGTTACGTAAGCAAGCCCAGGCATGTGAGAGTGAGGCACAGCTACAAAGCCACCTCGTTTTCATTTTGGTCAGTTTCAAAACTAGTTATTCAAACAACAACTCTAGTTCATCTTTAAAGAAAATGACGTACTACGTCCTTCCTAACTCCGAGTCTTAAGCTGACCATATGCAATAATCACAAAAAATACACATCCATACACAGACTACTAGTCTTTTCCTAAACCGCTCATAATACCTGACTTGTTTCACTTGTAAAAGTCTGTTATACCACAGTCAACACGAACTCTTCTAAATTATTTTTACTACCCCTCGTCTGTTCAGTAGGTGTAATTCATTAAAACTACTATTAAACAAGATATTTTCTTACCTCTTGCTTAACATAGCGACGAAGCTTGAAGGAACACCTAACGTGTGAGATGAGGCAAAACACAAGCAGTGGGAAACCTTTCGCAGTTTTGGAAGAGCAAAAGATGCAGGCGCCATGATCAATCAACGGAAAATTGACCATCACGATGACGAGCTTTGGTCTCAGCAACCAATGCAAAAAAAAACGGCAGAAAATCGAGTATCAAAATAGTATCACGAAAAATTCAAAACCATACGCGCTGCCGCTGCTATCAATTTCTGGCACAGGATTTGGCGCTTCCTCGTCGTTATCGCCTTTGCCACCACTCATCGACGGCGACGTTTCCAAGTTGATTTGCAAATGAAGCAACGATCGCTGTGAAAGAGCCACAAATGAAACAATAATATCGCTCGGAGAGATTTCCTCATCGGTCAACGAAAAATCTGGAACAACGCAAGCGAATCAAGTTGATCTGCATTATCTCTCTTCCAGACTTGTGCCCGACCAAATTTTTCTAAATGCTTTGCTTTTTAGGATAACTTCCAACTTGCGAATGCACGCCGATCGTCCTAGTCTACTTGCTATGCTTGATTTCTCATTTACTGGCTGCTACATCGCGAATTATAGCCAGAAAAGGTGTGATGTTGCTGCTTTCATATTCTTATGGCTTTTAAGTCGGTAAGGCTTGGTGCGAACTAATTTGAGATGAGTTAGTCGTGTTCAACAAAAATTAATAAAATTTCGGAATGGCCATGTCTTACTCCCAGAGCATTTCTCCTGGGAGAACCGCTGAGCAGCTAACCTGTTCAGGAGATGAAACGAACATTAGGGATGCCAGCAGGCTGATTACTAGACGATGCAGCACTGGTTAAAGAGCAAATGGGAACAGAGCCAGTCGCAAATTTGGAAAATGACACCATAAATTGTAACAGATCAAAGAATTAAATTATCTGAATTGAATTTCCTGAGAAACAGAAGATTGTAAAAGTACCTGTATCATGTAAATCAGCAGCTGCCGGCATGATCGAAATGGGCACAATGCTGACGAGTGGATGACAGAATGTAACTTGAGTGCACGCAGCAAAACGTGGCACATTCATAACATATACCAATTCGATGCAATAAATATTCTATAAATAATGTGCCACTGTCAAATGAATGATACCATGAAAATAGGTTTTCTCGAGTTCTAACCAACAAGATGCCTAATTCAGTCTGACGCAAAAGTGGCAACGTCCGAGAGGAGCTAGTGATGCTCAATACATATCAAATACATCATAAAACAGTTAAAACGCTGTCAAGCGCTTCTGTCTGGAGATCCGACGAACTGAGAGAAGACAAAACTAATGAAGATCGTCAGCAGGCTGACCAACAGGCAAAGCATCGCTGGCCAAAATAACCGGGGAAGTTGCCAACTGCACAGATGGAGAATCACACTGTAAACAACTACTGTAAAATTTTGTTTTCTTTGACTGCTTAAATAAACTAACACAAAAAAATCCCTTGAAAATCACTTGTTCCTCTTCCCCCCTCCCGCTTCCCCCCTCCCCTCCCCAAAAAAAAGCTACCAAACAGTGTGGAAATCATAGCCGATCCAAATAGGGGGAAAGTGTAGAAGTAAATTTTTCAAGGCAAAATAAAATCTATCGCTTTTTGAATCTAAAGTTACTTTTTCGACAAAAATACTTTCGCGCACATATAACCAAATTACAAGTAATTATGCGTTTTTTGCAGTAATGCAATGCAAAAAACGCATATTGACGAGAGGTTGTCTGTGTG